ATGATGATAAAGAGTCAAATATATGATGATGTAAAGTGACTTATCTTTTTCTTTAGCAAAACAAAACTAGAAAGAAAAGAAGTGACAATCTTTTGTAAGAATCGAATAAAACTTTGATAGCTTTTGTACGTACCCGAACTGTTTTCAAAATCTTGTAAACTTACCAAAGGAAATGAATACTCCGAATTTATAAGCGTGCTAGCACATGTGCTCTTGAATTTGTCGTAATTTGATATAATCATCTCTATTTTATTTTTCTAATTCCGGCTCTAAATTTACAAAATATGAATGATTAAAAAAAATAGTGACGGGAGTTAAAATTTGGATATCTGGCTATGAACTTCTTGTGATTTGATAAATTTTATCCATATATATATATATATATATTTAGTAATTTAGTTTATGAATTTGTCTAAAACTTCTCTAAAATTTAGTATTGGTTATCTTAACTATTAGGGTTAGCCTAGCGTTTCTAAAATATACACTTTCATCCCTCCATTACAAAATATACCCTTTCAACCCCTCTAATCTCTATTAGAAAATATAGGACGTGGATGGTAAAAAATCTAGACTAAGTAACACAATCTGATTTTTTTTTTTTAAATTTCAAATGAGTTTTTCTTTATTTTTTTTAAATATATCTTTTTCATTTGTTCTTTCACTCTAGGATGAGTATGTTTACCTCATTATTTACTTAAATAAAAATAAAAGAAAACTTATATCATAATGATCACATAACTAAGAGAAAAATCACTTGTCAACATGCAAAACTTTTGGATGCTCCAACCAAGATGTGGCGGCTGCTTTTTTAATGAGCCAAATGCCTACCACATGTTATTCGCTTTTGATGTAACACTCTAGAAAAACAAGCTAAAATATATAACAAATATCTACTTTTACAAGATGTCGGTCACACTCGACTTGATTCAATGAAACCTTTGACAAATTCTTTATCAGCTCTTCCAAATGCACCCATAGTCGTCATCCATGTGAAGGTGGTGAAGCTCACATGATGTTGATCAAGTCCGTGCAGTACTTGAACTTGATCCTTTTATCACCTTGATCATCATATCTACAAAGATTCTCAGTATTTATAGTAGTTTGATTCGCTCGTTTGAATTGTGTTGATTTGAACAAAAAAATTATAATAAAATGATTTAAATAGTAGTTTGAACTTGTGTTTAATTGTACATTTATAGTTTTAATTCGAATATAAAATATAATCCGAATTCACGTTTGGACGAGTCTTGCGAATTATAAAGTTAAATAGAACTGACGTTTGTATTAAAAATAATTCTAACTATGAAATTGGTAGTAAGTGAGTTAAAAAAAATACTTTTATGACTTTAAAAAAAATGACATTACATTAGAAATAAACAACTCCCATTTTTTTTTTAATAGCACACCTGTATTATTATAATTTATTTTTCTTATTGTTTCTACTTACAAAAAAATTCGTGACACAGAATTTTTATTAGGTATTCTTGGCATATGGTGTTTTAATGGGAGCGAGAATAATTTTTTTTGTACTTGATAATGCATAAAAATAGTACAAGTATGCAATTAATAGTTGGACGTAAATGACTAACCATAAAAAAAAAAAAAAATCGAGACTGTAGAAAATTGGAGCGGTGTAGAGCAAATAATCATAAAAAAGAAGTCCAAAAGTAAAAGGGGAAAGGCGCCGAGCATATGAGAGGGAATCTCTGAACTGTGTAAGAACGGTCAAAATCAAGATTGGGGAGTGGTTTTACTGTAGAAAATTGATTCAAATTGATGAATTGAAGGGAGGAGTTGAATCCCGAGTTGAGCCGTTTCAGCTTAAATTATCTTATTTATTTTATTAATTTGAATTTAGAATTTGAGTTTTTTTATAGTAAAAAATTCTTAAAAACAACTACATTTAACTTTTTTACTACAGTAAAAAATTCTCACATAAAATCACATTTCAACTCAAATCAATGAACTGAACGGTTCTAAATAATCCATTTAATTCAAATTAACGTCCTTACCAAACATGTATCCCGATTGTAGTTTAGACTTAATTGGGCTGAATTGAACTGAGTTGCGCAATCAAACAGGGGCGTAATCTTTCTTGAAGCTTTTCTCAGAAGGTATATTAGGGCCCGTTTAGTTCGTTGATTTGAGTTTTTAATTCGAGTTGAGATGTGACTTTATGTGAGAGCTTTTTACTGTAGTAAAAAAATTAGATGTGACTGTTTCTGAGAGCTTAGGTGTGTCATTAGTATACAAAACACAATTAATAGAGCTTAGCTGAAAATGAATGAACAAAATATGAAAAGGGTTCTGAAAATTGCTTATTGCTTATCATCATAAAACTAATGATCAATACGATTACAATGATCAATACGATTACAATTGAATGAAATATAATCTTTACTGAGGTACTTCTTTGCTAGGCTTCGAATATTATTTGATATGCTTTATCCATGCTTCTCTTGTGCTGACTTGAGCACACATATATTTAAATTTTGTAGACTAGATCTAAATATAATCAATTAAAATATTTTATGCATGATAATTAAAATTATAAAACGCACTCAATAAATTACCCAATTAATTATAAGGGAAAAATCTATAAAAAAATACGTGTGTGTGTATATAAATACAAACTTAAAAGATCTTTGTAATCACTAATGATTTATTTTAAGATAGCTAGGGAAGCAAATTTTGAAAAAAAATAGGCGATGAAGTATTCATTAACGCATGAAATCTTTTAAATCAACGCACATTAAGAGTTCTATAGTAAATTATTATTTCTCGTATATGAACATTCAATCCATAATTTATTTTTGGCGTTTTTATACATGCATCTCTGAACTTATGAAATTTGACAATATAGTCTCTATTCTTTTATTCATGATAATTGACCCATTCAACTTGAAAATTTTTGCAATTAAGGACCAATAAAAAGAGGCGTATTTTTTTTTTTTGACGATTCTAATCACGTGATATGCACGTGACTTCTATTGAGGGCAAAAGACCATTTCTCACCCCATTTGTTCAGGCATACTAATGTATGAGTCATTTAATATATCCGTTTATAATAAGCTATGATAAACAACTCTTAATTTTAAGGGTTAATTGCTCTTAAAAGACAGCTTTAAGGGTGAAAAATGACCATCATCATTCTTAACAGATCTCATGTACGCGTCACCTAATCACAATCATCAAATAAACAGACGTCGTTTTGTATTGGCCCTTAATTTTAAAGATTTTCGAGTACAAGGGGTCAATTACTAGGAAAAAAGAATAACGATCAAATTGTCAAATTTAAAAAATTGAGGGGTGTCTACACAAAAATGCCTTTATTTTTCTTTCAATTTCAACATAACACACTGACACTTGTCGTGATTACTGCGAGATGAAACTTAACATGACATTTTGTTAGTGAATCTTCATGATAATTTTCCGAACAGTGGTTCTTTCCTCTCCCAATTTAACATTCCTTATGACAAGTCACATAAAATGACGAAAAAAAAAGAATTATAATAAACTCAATTACCTAATTAATTTATTATAAAAAGAAAACTAATTATATAATTTTTTCTTTCAACACACTACATATTATATCCCAAATAATAAACTATTGTCAATTTTGAAATCTATAATAAAACTCTAGTTTTCACCTAACTATTCCACAAATTTACGTGGAGATGTTGTTAAGTTTTCTTTGCTATTCATTGTACGACGATTTCTTTATTTTTTTCGTTTTATGTTTATGTTTTTTTTTCTAAGTAATCATTTTGTTTTTTTAAAGGTTAATCATTTCATTTTGTATTTTTTAGGTTTTTATAAAGTTGTATTTTTCTTTCGTTCTCTTTTAAAAAAAATGTTTTTGAATTCACTGCTCGATGAGGCCTATTTTGAATCCACTGGTCGACCAATGGATTTCGTACTATTCTGTCACTGGTCAACCCGTGTCGTCCGGTTGTTACAGATTTTTGGATCCAAGACTTTTAAAACTCATTTTTCAAACCAAATTGTTTTAGAAAAATAATTTAATGTCATTTGTAAAACCAAATTGAGTGTGTGCAAAAGCCTAAATAAAGATTTTACAAATTAATAGTATGAAATCAAAATTAAATAGAAGACTTAGAAAAAGATATAACCTATCAACATTGTCTTGCTTGATTTTGTTTGCTCTTGACCTTTGATTCTTCTTCAATTCTTTAAGCTTTTAATTCCTTCTTAAATTTGTTGCATTTCTCACGCTTGAATGATCATGAACTTTACTTTTTTCAATCTTGATCAAGAGGTCATCTTATACTAACTTCCACTTGATTCAATTTATAATTAATAACAATTTACTAAAACATGACTCAAAGTAAATTAATTAGTAAATCAAGAATTATGTAACATGAAATTTATTAAACCTTGGGCCAACAAGAACCACCATTTTCCTAGTTATGCTCCTTAGCTTAAGGAGACATTACACAAGGATACTATTCTCATTTTAGAAAATGCGCCTGAAGTGGATCTTGGGCACTTAGATAAAAGAGAAGGAATATTCCTGTAATTATTCCTAACCAATTAAATCCGGTTTTTTACTGTGAGTCTGTGTTATGTTGTCGCTGTTTGTTTGTTAGTTGCTATTGTTATTTTTTTCTTTTTTGTTATTTTTTTTCCTTTATATAAGTGACTGTTTGTTATTATTGTTGTTGCTGATGTTTTTTTTTTTTTTTTTTTTTTTTTTTTTTTTTTCACTTTACGACCAATATTTAATTTAAAAATCTGGTTTTTGCGTTATTTCTTCCGGCGCACGTGTACTTTTGTGTATTACTAATATTTATTGATCTTGAGGGACATATGTAAAGGTTCCATTTAGTTCTGCTGATTTAAATTTTTAATTTGAATTAAAATATAATTTTATGTTAAAATTTTTTATTGTATTAAAAAAGTTAAATGTGATTCTTTTTAAGAACTTTTTACTGTAATAAAACTCAAATTTTAAATTTAAATTGGTAAAATAAAAGAACTATAGTGACAACAAAATAAATTATCTGATAGGTACAACAAACGTATAAAAACATTCATATGATCCCCCCTCAATATTCTTCAAGCCACCTTGCATTCTAGAGGAAAGCCTTGGGGAAACCTCTTAGCATCTGTGCAGTAATTGTAGATCATATAGTTCTTCTGCACCCATTTCAACTTCTCTTCACCGGCCGAATCCAACTCCTGAGATAGCCAGGAATTCGCACCGGAGGTCGAAGAAGAAGCGGAATGCGAAGAACAAGAAGAAGCTCCAGAGGAAAAAACACAAGCATTGGCCTTGAAGTTTCTGTAAGAGGAAGTGAAAGGTGCTTGGCTCCAATCTGTCTTGACCAAACCACCTCTTGTGGCCCAATCATCAGCATTCCAAAGACTCGAATATATTCTCATTGGCTGGCTCTTTGGATATGGGACTCCCATTGATTCCAAGTTCTTGAACTTTCTGATTGGAGTACCATCCACTGAGAAGCTGAAAAAGTGAGAGAAGTTCAAGTTGAGTTATAACCGGAACCCCTTAAGAAAAAAAAGTTGCCCATTTAATTTATTTATTCGAATTTTTCATTTGAGTTTAGATGTGATTTTATATGAGAATTTTTTACTGTAATAAAAGAATTATGTGGGACTGTTTTTGAGAGTTTTTTACTGTAATAAAACTCGAATCAGTGAAATGAACGGAAGTTTAATAGCTTGTTTGGTCATAGATTTGAACATAAATTCAAAAAAAAAAAATTGTGAAATTGATTTAAACTCTGGTTTAAAGCCACGAAACAAACAGGCTATAAGTACCGGAAATTCTGTTGATAGGCACTTACACAATGTGCTGAGGATTCCAAAGGATTGAGTAAGTGTGGAAATCAGCAGTTGGGTCAAACCATAAATAGAATTGTTGCTCTCTATTGCCTTTGCCTTGACTGAAGACATTAGTGTGAAGGATGTACGGGTCACCGCTCAGGTTACCCAAGAACTCAAAGTCAATCTCATCCCATGTCGACCCTTTTGATGATAACTGCAAAGAATATTCATACACAAAAAGAGCATAACTCATGAGTCCATATATATATACATTTAAAGAAGACTAACAGTACTCATAGGACAAATACTATTTAACAAAATATCCAAGTTATGAAGGAGAAGTTACATAGTAAGCAGTAACAGTGCCAGCGGAGTTTCCAGGAACAAGCTTGAGTTGCATATCAATCTGGCCGAAAAGATACTCATTCTTGGATTGAAATCCAGAGCCAGAGGCTTTGTCTAAAGATAGAGTAAGAAGTTCACCATTGTTAAGTATCTTAGCTCGGCCATCACCCCAAGTTATCTGAAAATCTTTGTTTAAATCACTAGCGAAAGTAAACGTAAAAGTGCAAAGAACGACACAAAGCACAAGAAGAAAATACTTTGCTGAATAAAGAGAAGCCATGAGAGGTATTTGTTTAATCTTTTATGTCACAAAATTTTGAATGCAAAAGATTGGAATTGATGCGTAATATGGCTTAACTAAGGTGATATTTATAGTGAGCCCATTGGTGGGAAAATATTAGAAAGGTGACGAAGTAGACAAGGAAGTTTCCAATATCTCAGCTGTAGCCAGTTGTTTGTTGGGCCTAGAGAAGTACCAAAGATTTTGCTTAAGTCAAAATCGTACTACCAAAGCGCAACCAGAGCGATGGGACTTGGTTTTATTATTAATAATAATGGAGGAGTTGTTGAACTTCAATTTGATCCTTTTGAATGCACTTTATACTTATCTTATTGCCAGTACAGCTCCAGCTAAGCAGTACTGCTGGAGCACATTTTTAAGAGGGTAAATGTAACTGTCGTTTTAACAGTTATATTTATTATAAAACAACTGAAAATAACACAAAAGATAAATCACAAAGCATAAAAAAAAGAGAGACAAGAAAAATATGAGAAACTATCATGTTATATTCTTTCATTCACTTGTAATAGGTGTGTTCAAAACAAGCTCATACAACTTCTATTTATAAGCTAGGAATCATGATTCAAGAGAGACTACATATTAAGGGAGGAATTATGAAGAGATAATACACTACATTAAGGGAATTATTAAGAAAAAAGACACAAATTACATGAGTTACATACAATATTAAGATGGGAGTTATGAAGAGATAATACACTACATTAAGGGAGGAATTATGAAGAGATAATGGGATCTAAATGAGAGGTTATAGAATACCAAGAGGTGGCATCTGCACTTAATTGATTTACAACACTTTCCCTTAGATGTCCACCTACTAAAGAATATGTCTCGTTAAAAATCATACTAAGAAAAAACCCTCTGGGAAAAAATCTTAGTGAAGGGAAAAATAATTCTTGTAGGATTTGCGTTTGGAACTGCTTCGTTAAAAACCTTGTGAGGAAAACCTAATAGAACAAAACCTATGCCAAGGAAAAAAGAGCACACTACGCAGTAGTCTCCCCTCATGTGAACATGTCTTCTTCAACAACAATAAAGATCTCTGAGTTAACGCGTATTGATCTTGTGCATCAATTTCTCAAATGTAGCTGCAGATCTGCCAAGTTGTCACTAGAACAAATTTGATGGACACCTAGTTCTCTTGTCTTCTGGAGTTTATACGTGTATATAAACTTCAATAAAATGTGCTTGATTATATCTTTTTAACTTAGGTTAAACAGGTTGCATCTCCTCGTATAACACCGTTAGAATCCTTTAACGACTGAACTTACCTCATATATTGCCAATATTTCAACATGATTCAAATGTTGTGATAAGCGTTTGATTTGTTGAGGGCTGAGATATAAAAATCCCACCATATGTAGACAAACATAATCAAAATAAATTTTTATCTGGTGTTCATGAAAACAATACTTGTTTAACACCATTGACAAAGACTGTTATATCAAGTCTTGTAACAAAATACAATAGTGCGCCAATAGCATTTAAGATATGGCACTTCCAGGTCATGAGAATGAAAATAATTCTCTTTCACATCAAATGATCAAACAACCATAATAGGGTTTATTGGAGGTGTTAAGAAGTGAGCATCCACATTAATAAATCTATTTATCGATAAATCTCCTCCTTGGACGTTCAACAGTTAATATGTCTCATTAAAACCTTACTAGGTAAAAATTCAGTGGGATAAAAATCCTAGTAAAGTAAAAAGAGTACAATATTCTCATTCTTATAATACGCTATTAAAATTGTTTCATTAAAAACCTTGTCAGGAAAACTCAGTGAAACAAAACCACGACTAAGGAAAAAAGAGTGCAATGCGAATTTATCACATTCTCATATAAATATCCATGATTGTTCTAATAGCCAACAATTTTATATTTAAATAATTAAGTTGACACATAATATTACTTGTAACTCAAGAAACTTTTCAGTTGACTATATAACCTTGAGTACCCTTAGTACTTTGCTAATATTTACATTATTGCTCTTCGAGAGATTATGATAAATTGGTTATCTTTGATGGATAGATCAAACAAACCATTACCTATATTTATTGTTCGATCGATCAAAACATAGTGCAGTAATCATTTTCAAAAAATTTATCTTCATGTAAGTACGAAATATTTTGCACCTAATAATCATTTATCATTCTATTTTATTCAATTATATCTCATACTATGAGATGCCAAATTAAATAATCAGGTAACATATAAACATTAAAATAATACCTTATCACATAAAGTTCTTTCGATATCTTCTCAAAATATAGAAAAAGTATGTTCTCATATCAAGTCATAAATCAACCAATAGATAACTTTTAATATACATGTTATCTATGAAAGTTCTTCAAGACTTTCTTTCACATAAGAGAAATTATGGATAAGCATTCTATTTAGTAAATCTCAATTTTCAGGTCTGAACAAAATTTTCTTCTAAGAGATTTGTCTTCTTAAATTTCTCTTATAGTCTCCTCAATAGAATTCGTAAAAATATCAAACCTAGTATTCTTTTCAGAAAAATCTATAAATAATAGCAAACCTAGCATGTTTGAGCTTATTATAAAGCAATGGAAAAAATAATTTGCTAACACTTCCATTCTTTATTGTAAAAGCAATATGGTACCATTTATATATAGATTGTATCTATTCACAAAAAGATCTTTGTGACATTTACAATAAAGCGCACAATTTCAATATATATTTTTCAAACAGCATAGAAAACTCTTTTTTTTTTTTAAACACATTTTGCAAACAAATTATAAGGTGTCATACTTAGTATACCAAAAACCTAGGATCGCATATATAATACCTCACATATAATATATAGGTTTCATGTCTTTAAATTTCTAATATTTTTAACTTTGGAGGTAAGCAAACATGTGGAGAACAAAATATTAGGCCTACTTGATCCAGAAGTATCTGTATAACACCATCAAATTTCAACAAAATGTATTTACCATTACTTATGAAATAAACAAGTGAATAAGTGTAAGATAATGACTGTGTAGAAAAAGAAAAAGAAGACATGAGATATACCGTCAAATTAATCTCGGATGTATAATCAAGGCCTTGAAGAAACCATATAAGAATATGATCATATATATGCACATACAAAAAAATCTATACAAATAATGCGAACAATCATTATGGAATCATATAATTTATACGTTATAATATCTTTTCTTTATAGACAGAATGGTCCTCATACCAACATCACCGACAAAGTTTTCAATACATTAGCGAAATATCAATAAAGGAAAGATGCTAGCAAGAAATTTATGGTATGGCCATTACGTATAAGAAATATTGCACTAAGAATTATGTAACATAAACAAGATTCTAGAATGATATTCAAAACATAGATTTAAGCATTATCAACCTTACAAGTATATCAATTTACTAATCTCCAAGTCCTGTAAAAACCCTCAAACTTTTTGTACAACAAATATGGTTAGAGACTCATACTGATAACGTATTATAAAACAAATGAAAATAGCACAAAAGGTAAACTACAAAGCATAAATAAAAGAGAGGCCAAAAAAAAAAATGAGAGACTATCATTTTATATTCTTTCATTCACTTGTAATAGGTGTGTTCAAAACAAGCTCAAACAACCTCTATTTACAAGCTAGGAATCATGAGTAATGGTAGACCAAAAGACACAAGTTACATGAGTTACATACAATATTAAGATGGAAATTATGTAGAGATTAATACACAACATTAATAGAGGAATTATGAAGAGATAATGAGATTTAAATGAGAAGTTATGGAATACCATGAGGTGGCATCTACACTTAATTGATTTAAAACAATATTAACTTCTTTAATGATTTGATCTATGAGTATCCATTAAGTTAAAAGTTTGCAGCGGCGAAATAGAACTACTTCCATTCATATATAAGGATGGTTGAAATATCCAAGGACTGACACAATTATATCTAAGAATGAAAATATTTAAGGACAGTTGTGACCGTAGAAATTCACATTTGTATATTGCAATTTTCAGCCAAAAAAGATAAACTTGCTGAAATTTGATTTGATTTTATTTTTTTACAGAATCTTTTAGTGAAATAAGACCGCATACGACAGAACCAACAACGTATTGCATGGTTTGGATTCTAATGTTCAAAACTCATACCACACAAAAAGCATTAACTTATCTGGCATGGTTCGACCATTGTTTTCTTTTCAATTTCACCCTGTTACCATTTTCAGTGTTATTTCTTCTTTCTTTTTCTTTTGACCTTTTTGTAACACACATATGGCATGCGTTAGATTTCTCTTTGGGGACCATTAGGCCTATAAAGGCTTATAATTAAAAGAAATTGAATATGGTGTATTATTACCTGAAATGAAAAGTAGGTGAAAGACTAATCAATAAAGTTTACTTGTGAAATGAAATAACCTGTTCATCCATTATGCTCCACTACAATATATAGCTCTAATTTACAACGTTGATAACAAAAATAATATAAACAAAACATCTCTATGCAACTACACTGTGCACTATGCCTATAATTGCGTGGATATATTGTGTTAAAAAATAAAAAAAAATTCATCCATATCAAAATAAATCTCCCTTACTCACAGAATGGTGGATCCCATTAAATTGGGTCCCACCAGCCCATCTAGTGAGATCTACCTCATATGAATAATAGGGTCTTATCTACATGGGGATGAATGAGAGTTCTCTCGTCTTAAACATGTGTAAAAGGTACCTGAAGGGGTATTGCAAAGGTTACAATAAAAAAGGCTTTTCCACGATAGAATATTTACGACAAAGAAAGCTATTAAATGATCTTTAAAACGATATTTGATCGTCGAATGTCATAATACGCAGAACATAAGCACATTGGTGAGAAAAGTGATGCAATATCGACTTATGCATTTAATTTTTATACAATTTTAAGACATAAAAATCCGTTTGGATCGTGTTCAGAATATTCATGTAGTTGTTTTAACTTTTTTAATTTGGATTATAGAAGTTTAAAGAGTGGTTAGGAAAAATGG